GCAGCTTGGTGTTTCATGGAAAAGCAGGTCAACTGTAGAGCGCTGTCAGACCTCGGGAGTCACCGGTCTGATGGAAAAGCTATCCGACATGGTGAGGAAAGACAGAGGTTTGTCTCAGGCTGTACAGTAATGGGCTTTATTTACTCCGCCATTAGGAACAGAAAAGAGAGGAGAAATGATGGAAGTGAAAGGACTGAGCATACGACTCTAGGGAGAGATGCATTAGTGTTGTCTGGTGTTCCTCCTCACCTTCTACCTCTTTCGATATCTCCCCCATCTCCCTCTGGCTCACACACAAGAGACGGAGCTGCCCCACTGCCAACACCTAACTCCTTATGTGTTTTTCTGTCCTCAGTGTTTCAGTCAGACAAAACGCAAAATCAATAATGCTTTTTCTCCCCCATTTCCTCTTTGATGCAACTTCAAAAAGCAAATGGACAGCCCTCCAGAGGCCCACAGAGGAAAAAAGCCAATGGTACGAAACATGCTCAGAATGAAAGTACAGGGGAATAAAACTTCATCCTTCACTCTCTTAAAACACTGCTAACTTTTAAACCACAGGCGGCAAAGCACACGAGGGCAAGGCAAAGCATGCGAAGCAGAAGAAGTGTACGTTCCTTATTAAATTACATAGTCATACACTAATTTTATTGAGGCACTTTACTGAGTAACGCTGATTTGCGCTGGGAGGATGCGTGTCAGTATTTCAAATAACTGCAAACAGCAAACTATTAGAACGCAAAGATTGAGGGCTGCAAAAAAAAAGAGAGAATCTATATTCTTTCTACATTTTCTGCTTAGAACGTTACAGAAGGCAAGAAAAAAATGAAAGTAAAAATGTTCTCTAACTCCATAGCCTGTGGTATGTGATTATCTAATGAGTGCTGACAGATGAAGTATTCTATCAGAAGCTAAATGCTGCATGACAGCGAGATACTTCAAAAGGCTCTATAAGTGACTCCTGAAATACAGACTGAAAGTAAAGTAGGAAATTACCTTTAAGTTAAAGGCATTAGGCTAAGCCCAGCTTGGTCTGTTACCTGACTGGGGAGCCAAATAGAGAACCCTCAATGAACCTCAAGTTTTTAAGGATTTAGTCCGATGGTTACCTTGAGCAAGTGCTGTTTGTTGTTGCCCGCTGTTTGATTGGACATAGAACAGGGGAGTCGTTTAACCTTGCCTGTGATTGGACTAATCTGTCAAAACCACAAGGTGTGACTGACAAGACAAGATGACTGACAGAGCTGTCTGGCACCCTGGCAATGCTTCGGATGCCGCTGCAGATTAATGTTTGTACAAAAACTATGCTCAGACGTGGTTACAAAGAAATGGCAATTCTTCTTTGTGTTGTTACTGGAAGCACAAAGGCAAATCATATACTTAGCACACTTATATCCAATGCACAAATAACACATTTCTCAAACCCAGAATTTGAATTTTTTCAAATTCATAATCACCTAAAACGTGCAACATTAAAATGCAAAATAATCCCCAGTTCAGAAACTGGTGTCTATCCGTAGGCGCCTATCCTCTCTGGAGTGCACATCCTTTTCTCCCCAACTTCTATGGAGCCAAATCAAAAATCCATGCTCTCAATGGGCAGTCAATATCTCATTAACCAGTCCCTCTACACACAGACAGGCAGCCAGGATGTTTGTCTCAGTGTGCACAGCGCAGACTGGCACAGCTCACACACTTTAATAACCTGTGGGGACACCAATCCACTTCCTCGGTGAGCTAAGAGGCAGGAGAGAGGGCTGAAGCACACACTGCACGTCTGGTAGGCTGACTTGTTTGTCCCGCCTTGCATCTGCTCAGATGTTGTGTGCATGCTTTTAATTGTATTGTATATAACCCCTTAAATTAATAAAGGTTTTTTTCATTGCAAATATACAGACATTTGTGGTTCTACTGAAGTAAATGTAGCTGTCTAAAATTACATACTGACAGACTAAAACGTACCCCGTATTTATTGATTTTTTTTTAAAAGATCAAAACGTGCATGAATGCCTCGTCCTAAAATAATTGGGTCTTTTATTTTAAATCCTTGCAGGTGGATTATAGGTGGCTATATTTGCCTTCACCTTAATCTGTGGCATATTTTTCCCCTTTGGCTCTTTATGTCCTCAGTCCTTAACTGGATAATAGCCAATCTTGCTAACTTCTGCTTTAATGTGTGAGAGCCTGCAGCACTGGTTAGTGAGCGCTTCAATCGGCCACTGATTGAAAGAGACAAAGAGTACCAAATCCACAGCAAATATTTACAGCCTTGTTAACATAGCCTTAAAGCGCCTATCATAAGATATTTGGCTTTACCTTCTCTAGGGCCCCAAAAGATTTTTCACAGTCTAGTACACACTCATGCTAGATCACATATTTATGTGTTGTCTGCACGCGCTGTAGTAGCTTACTGGGCACTGCTTTCAACAATTTTGAAACATTGATGCTACCCATCTTGCCACAATAATTCTCCTTTTCGAGGGTTAATTATATGTGCTCTGTGTGAGACACTTTTTCTTTTTTACCTTTTCTATCCACACATCAAACAACTTTCTTTAATTATGTAATTGGAATTTTCATCTTAATTGTGTTGAGTAGGCTGGCTAATTTGCATGGGGTAATGAGAGGGATGTTTCCATTACAGGTAATTAGGTACTTGAGAGGCAGTGGTGTGGTAGAGAGGCTGAATTGAGAGGGAGAGGTGGGTAGAGGGTGGTGCAGGGTAGAGACAAAGCCACAGAGGCACAGAGAGATGTTCGTTATAATACATTAGCATTATTTTTTGAAGTGCAGAGGATGAAAAACAGTTTTCAAAAACACCACATAGGGCACATGCAGTATGCACGGGTAACAATGTAAACTCTGTGTCTGCGGCAATGCAGCAAGTCATCGTGCACTTCCCTGACCACATTCAGGAGAAATGACTGCTCCTATTTAAATTAGCTTTCAATTATCCCCCTTGTTGACGTTTTAATTAATTTCTGACATTGTCACAATATCCTTTCATGACACTAGACACCCCTCATCAAACTGAAAGTACCAATGAGGGAACAGACGGAGCTAGAGGAAGACTGGTGAAGAGACTCATTAGAGCACAAAAAATAAGCAGTTTTTTTGCTGTACATATCAGATCTACTCATTTTTTTCTGAACCGAATGAGTAACAAAAAAGACGCAATTCTGTGCCAAGTCAAGCAAAGCACAAATAAACACAATAAAATTTTGAGCATGTTACACTTTAACATAAAAAGATTAGAAATGCTACACAGCACAAAACTCGTTTTTTCTCCAAAAATATGAGGTTTGATAAAAACCCTTCACTATGAAATGCATGTAAAAGGACATTAGGTCAAACGGGTCTTTTTTTTCATGAAAATAAGATTCAGGACTTTGCTCTTTCTCAATTTCACACACGTCAGGCTTATCACAATTGACTGTGAGCTTCACTTTGTAAATGACTTCCCTTACACTCTTAACAAAAGAGAAGAAGAAGAAGAAAAGAATGAAAGGAATTAATACTGTGGTCGTGGCAGCTTGAGTCAAACGAAAGTCAGACAAGCTGTAAGTGTTACTATCAATATTAGTAATACTCTAATTACATATAATATCACACATTAATTTCATTTGCTTTTAATAATATGCATGTATGCAGCCACTGTGTTCTGAAGATGCCCGAGTGCTTTTTTCTTCCAAACCTTTCAATCTACTGGGAAGGAAAAAAATAAGAAAGCAGCACATATCAAATCAAATTATTTCCAGCTCCATATATTTTTGTCATTTTGCACCGAATGACAGCTGCCTGTGCCTCAGCGGGGTTATCGTTGCCTATTTAATTATATTAGGAGTGCATCTCCCCACATATGTTTGCATGGTTGTTCACATCTCTCTGTATGGAAGAACTCATAAGTGTGGAAAAAACGTGATTATGTGCATATATGTGTGTGTGCGCGTCTGTGTGTATGTTTGTGTGTGCAGGCATGCGTGAGAGAAGTGTGGGGATGCACTGTATGTCTGACTACACTCACTATCTGTCTGCACGGGTGTGTGTGCGTGTGTGTGTTTGCGTGTGCACATGCTCGCCTGTACAACGGAGAGGGGGTGGAAGAGCTGGGATTAAAGCGTACTAGATCAACATCAGAGACTGGGAGGACCCAGTCCTGCTCTTGTGCCACATGTAAACTCGACTACCCCAAAAATAGGTCAGTGGAACACAACACTGTCACAGACACGCAGAAATAAAATGTTAAAAAAAAATACATATAATTATATAAATATATATACACACAGAGAGAGACAAACACGTGCATCGGTATCAACTCAAACAATCTCAGTCTGCCAGTCGCGCCAGTGCCTCGTCGCTCGTCTGCGACCCGCGTTCAACACTACCACACACATCTTCCTGCAGCACAGACACGTTCCCTGGACTGGAACGACAGGATTAAGAAGAAAAAAAAAACCACCCCTCCAACCCAAGCCCCCTCTCCATCGCATGCCACCTCGCATCTACGCCAATAAAAACTTCTACTCTTGAAACCCTGGAGCTATTTCATGTAATAGACGAACTAGTGGAAAAAAAGCTGCACCGGCTGTGGTTTTTCTACAGCATCCTGCAAACCTGCAGCGACAAAACGCACACTGTAAATAAAAAAATGAAAGCAAACCTTTAATTTTTATTTTCTTTATATTTATTTTTTGGAAGATGCAAATTGCTCCTATTGCGCCATCTCTTTCTTTCTGAGAGTTCAAAGCAGAAATTCTCGAAGTGCACGGACAGACATATTAGAAAAGCTTAACTGACTTGGACACAATCAGAAGCAATGTATTACTGTATCTCTCCCTCCCCTCCTCTCTCCCCCTCACACACACTCTCTCTCTCTCTCTCTCTCTGTCACACTCATGCCTTGCAAATGAAATGCAAAGAGTTGGCAGGCTGTGAATAGCGTACTCGTACTTCCCTACTTGTTACTCTGGGTGCGCGATCGGCATGCATTGTGCTCTTACCTTTCATAGCTGAAATCACAAAATACATCATTGAGCTTCGAGTCCATAAGAGAAGAACTATCACCAGCGCAAAGCCCTCCACTGCTGTCTCAGCAGCAGCTGGCCAGCACAGCTCTGTCTCTCAGCCTCCGAGCATGACCACACCAGAATCCATGTGACTGTGACATCAGTGTTCATGTCTGACTGCTCCCCACCCACTAGCCTTTGATTGGCACAGCATGCAGCCAGTAGGGGCGCTGAGAGCTCAGGCAGGGAAGCTGGCCCTCTTCCCACTGATTGCAGTCGGAGCCGTGTATACCAGCTTTGCTAGACACAGCACACTCTTAACTATCTGCGTCTTATCTTTTTAGTGCAAGGGTAAAGACAAAACCAGCTCTCGCATAAAAAAAGAGAGAGAAAAAAAATCACATTCTGGTTCTGCACCTTGTGCTTTTGTTTTGCCTTTAAAACTGTGCAATGTGAAGGCTAAGAAAAGAGAGGAGGGACAGGAAGACAACAACTGGTGACTCAAAAAAGAAAAGAAGAAAAGAAAAGAGAGCAGTGAGAATGGATGACAGAGGAAGTGTAATTTTTTCTGTGACTTGGTGATACAAGTGCCCCGCTCTTCTCCACCTCCCTGTCTGTAGATATGAGTGATCAGTGTGAGGCCAGATGTCGGCAAGCAGCAGTGGGCCCATCACAGAGAGAAGATGAGTGGAGCCTCAGCATCTTCCTCTGACCTCTCAGAGGACCTGCATGCAGCTCTCTCTCTCTCTCTCTCTCTCTCTCACACACACACACACACCCCTTCAGACAGGTGAAGTAGGCGATATAGATACTGACGGAAGGCTTTTGGATGATCCCCCCCACCCCATCGCGACCAGGCGATGAGTTTCTTGGTATCACTTCTCCGTCTCGTCCTCCTTTTTGCCCCTCACTCTCGCCCCCTGCTTTCCATTCCAGTCTCTACCTCTCCCTCTCTCTCTCTCTCTCCGATCCTCTCCTCCCCTCCTCCTCCTCACTCATCCTCTCTCATATGATAATCTGTTCTGACTCCTAACCAGCTGCCTCTCTCTGATACAATATTCTGGTTTTACTGCAATCCAGCCTTGGCCAATAACCATTTGGCATTTCCACGAATAAGCTGGTGCTGGTATCATCTTGTCTGAAGACAAACATCACACAGCTTCGGTTTCAAACACTGCAATATTTCACATCTAAAAAATGAACTAGTGATTTTTTTTTTTACATTTCTTTTTTACTTTTTTTTTTTTACAAAGTCAATATTTCACATGTAGAAATGTGAATTTTACACCCTTGTTTTCCCAACTTCTCTATATTTGTTTCATTTTGCTAAACCTTTCATTAACCCCACTGTATCCACGCCACAGAATTATAGAGAATTGCCTCCTGTTACGACTGCTTAACAAAGCAGTTGCAACATGAAATTGAATTATTTATTCCCACGTTACACTTGAAATATCTATATTCATTTGGTGTCTTCCGCTGTGTACTGCTCATTGAATAAAGGTACATCTAACCACATATAAAATGGAAATGAGAACTCAGCAGCTTGCAACATAAATCTTCCCATGACAATGTTTCATTAGCACCTCTATGATCCATTAGAGTCTCTAAACACATTAACTCAGGTTGTGTCAACACTGGTCTCTTATTGCACACTGTCTAATGAGCAAAATATCATTCAGAGGCTGATAGAATCAAATGGAGCGTGCCTGGTATACAAACTAGATGCAGACACGCATGCATGGCAAACTATTCGAAACAATATGATGTAACAGAAGGTACAGTCCTCTCATTTTGATGTAGGCATCTCCCCGCAAGATCTTCAAAGTTCAACAGATGAGTCAGAGGGCGAAGGCCCACGCACAAGCAGGTTTAACTGTCACTATCTGTGGTTGTCTCTCAGAAACTGGCTGCTGCATCAGACTCTCTGGAACCGAGCACGGCGCGACACACTGGGACATAACACCGAGGTACCGTTAAGGGGAAACAAACAAGCACAATATGATAGCAGGGACATAGAGAAGGACAACACCCATACAGTACTCCAACCTGAGCATCAGGAGAGAGCTGAAAGGAATGCATGCTTTCTACATTATGTTTCTGCAGCGTGAATGTGACGAATAGCTTCTGACAAGAGAGAGAGGTTCATAAAATAACCATGAAAATGAAATAGCCGTGCTTCTAATAAAACCTATTTGTTTCCTCGCAAAAGAAAAGAAAAGAAAACAAAGTTAAATGCTACAGCAAAATAGAGACGTATAACTCTCTCTCTCTCTCTCTCTCTCTCTCTCTCTATATATATATATATATATAATATATATTATATATATATATATATATATATATATATATATACATATATATATTATTATATATATATATATATATATATATATATATAATAATATGAATAAAAAACTACATAAAAACGAAACACAAGATACAGAGCTTTTGTGTAAATTGCAAGGTTAAATAAGGGTCACACTGTACACTCAGTCCTCCTTTTCAGCCTTCTTGCAATGCAAAAAATGTTCAATAAAAGAACAGTTGACAGTGTTTATGTGGATCATACAGAGTGAAACTGGAAAAAGACGCTGCTGCTGCTGCTCTGTCTGTCAGCCATGCAACAAATATAGTGCCTCCAACTGTATATAATTGTGCTTAAAAGCCCAAGCTTCCCTAAGGACAAATGTTTCCAGCAAGGCTGGTTCATTAGCTTTTGATCACACACTTCCTTGACTGCTTCACATTACCAGTGACAGTATGCCAATACGCTGCTGATAGTTGCTCATTAGGGTATTGATTAAGCCACAGAGGGACTGATGGTCAGCTGTCTATGGGTATTAATGCAGCGATGTGGAGCCCTCAATAGAACTGTTTTAGCTGATAATTTCTTTATATCCCTGAGGGGGGGGAAAAAAAGTCTTGGTGGTGGATGCTGACACTGAACTGAAGCGGACACAACACAGTAAATTTCTGCATTTAGACTGGCCAAGTCATGTATCTCACACTCCTCGTGGATTAATTCAAGCAAATGTATTTACCGTAAACAAGCCCTGTGGAATGAAATTCAATTGAGATGTGGTACAGAACATCCACCGGTGCCCCGGGAGAAGAGAAGAGGACGAGACCTGATAATGGCCTCATTAGCAGTCTGTCAGTAGCCATTCCCTGCACAGGCTCACCATGCAGCTGATCCACGTTAACTCTTACAACTCTGGACTCGCCTCTTAAGAGCGCGGACCCAGTCGGCTGCGTGGTGTTCCGCTCCGCAGCCGCTAACCCCGCAAGATAAACACTTTTGGACTTACTCATTTTGCGTCCCAGTCATGTGAGATATTTTAGAGAGCCGAGGCTTATATTCCACCGCGCCACCTGGGTGTTTGGAGCTACACCACCTGCCTGAAGCAGCGGCAGAATTAACAAGCTCCAACAGGCACTCCATGAAAACAATACAGATCAATTTAATATAGATGCCAAGGAGTGGAGGGCATAATATTAGAACCATAACAGCACCGGCCCACACCACGCAATCATAAACCAATTTAAGGCCATTCCAGGCAATTTCCTGGGGGCTTCCACTTGTGGGAAGACTTCAATAAATCACACAGACAACAAAGGAAATACCTATTTCAGTGAAAATAGAGGACACTATTGGGTTACGTCCAGAGCACTGCGGAGGGTTGCATTTAAAGACAAGTTTAAATAAGAAAGGTGTGAATTTAAAACCATTCATGCCACTGCTGTGCCAGCATTTCATAGCATGTGTAGCTACAGGAAATGCTGTTAACTCATTACCGCTAATGGATTTTCCACAAAGCAGTGCAATATGTCTCCTCTAAGCAAAGTAGCAGCTGCAGGTAAGTAATGTACTTTCAAAATTTTTAAAGTTCCTCTCAGATCAGATGACGATATACACTGCCCTTCCTTTGCATGCACAGCAGCCCCAGGGCCAGATCAGCACCAGTCTGTCTCTAAATACAAATTCACACAAACACAATATTTATAGAATAGTAGGGTCAAAAGCAAAAGGCATGAAAGCAATTCATTCCTACATAGGTGAAGTATACACCTGTCAACTGTCATGTAATCAGAATCAACAACACAGCACTTATAGTGAATGGCTGACAGGGCTATAGCCTTTTGTTTTACAGGTAGTTATTTATAGACTTCATTTAAATATTTTTTGAAGGAAAAAAAACAAGTCCAGTTTTCCAAATCAACTGAATCATCACGTTTTTGTCAAACAAATTAAAAGTACTGTGTCACTTTTACAGCTAAGCCGATTTATTCTCCACGGACTGACCAAGTCTCGCTTCATTTAAAGCATCCTTACATGCCTGTTCCACATTAAATGATCTCCTCAAGGTACAGATGTGGTGATGACAAGATGATGGGGACAATAATATAAATTACAATGGAAAAGAACTGCTCTCAGCTGCTTTTTTATTTGCTTGTTATTGAAGATTTAAAGCGAGGCTATTTCTGCTTATTTTGGGTGTTTCTAGAGTAAGAAAAAGTGATTAAATGGATGTTCAATTGGTCGAATCAGCCTTGAAAAAAATACCAACTTCACACGCAAAGCTGTTGAATAGAGGCCGTCATTTAAGTAACCAGTATAAATCGGGTTATTTATTTATTTTGTTATATGGAAATGCGGTGGCAAAGTGAGCCCGTGAACACTGCTGGAGTGCTACCACACATCTCCCGGAACAATTTTTCAATAGGTCAATAGAAATCAGATTTATCAATGAATTGTACTGCATCTCTTTTGTGTGAGGCCGCCCTTGGGGACAGAAAGGAAAGGAATAGAAGGATAGAGAAAGAAGAAGCGAAAGGGAACGAGGAGAGGAGATTATCACAGGCATGGCAGCCTGTGTGAGAGGCTTAGCTTGGCTAGGCAGGGAGGTGGAACCCTGTGAATTCTAATGAACTGGCAAGACTCCCCCAAAACCAGCTCCATCTCCATGGCATGAGGACGATAGGAGGGAAGAAGGAGGTGATTAGGAAGGCGCAGCCCCTCTACGGCAAACCAAACAGAGCAGGTCATTTTCCCTGTGATAATTATGGCTATAACCAGGCATGAGGGATTGGTAATGGAGCTGCTTATTCTTCATGCTCTGCAAAGGCAACCACTGAGTCTGTCAAGGAGAAAAGCATGATGATGTTTTTTTTTCTCACTCTGTTAGTAGGGTGACTCTGGTAAGAGTTGCAATGGCTGCTGAAAAGGGCAGCGGGGGAACTTGGCCTTTGAGGGAGAAGTTAACGAATGAACTTCATTATTGAGGAGCATACCAGGGAGACCCCCTGGTGTGTGTGATGTATTACCTAGCGCCAAACTTACTCACTCCCCCAACATCACCAGTAAAGCCTGACATCAGCTCTAGGGGGAGGCAGGCGTGTAAACTAAAATAGTTTAACCTTCTGGCTCAAAGCTAGAAGAAGACAACAGAGGAGCAACCTGATGTACAAGATTTGCATCCAAAAAGTTGTTTCCAAAGAAAAAACACACATAAAGTTCTGAAACAACAAAGTGAATAATGAGGGAGCGCCTTTTTGTTCCTCAGAAGAAAACCCTTTTAGCTTAAACTAACACACATTTAATGTTCTCTCTGTGACTTCTGGTAATGTAGGTCCAGGGAGGCATTCCACATCAACACAATGTAGATTACTCTCATTTATTAAAATACAGCTCTGGTCAAGCATGAAAGTAACTTTTCCTGAGTTCTATGAGCTTTAAAAAAAACAAGTGACCCACTCGAGGGACTAATGTTTTTCCTCAAGATTGAGGGAGATCTTCAGGCTATGCGTGATGTGTACCACTTAGCCTTTCCCTTCTTCCAGCGGACCGGGATCGAGCTGCTCTACGGTGGACAGTGCGAAGGATCTCTTTACTGAGCGCACTCTCAACACTTTTACTCTTGACTTATGAGGATGCCATGGGTGCAGGGGAGTGATTCATCATTGGATGTGTTCCTCTTGCACCCTCACACATTAGTAATGTGGTCCGCTGAGGAGGAGTCCTGTCATCAGTCTGTACCTGGACCCTCTGAACAAGGTAGGTCAACAGGAGGCAGCAGCGGCTGGCCCACTTTTAGTCTTTCACAGCACCTTTAAGTTTCCTCCAGCTCTGCCACAGCTGAGCCTGACGGACACACTAAGACCAGTTTGGTCAAGGGGAGGCACAGCCTTCGCTATAGTCGCTATATCTGTTGACTCAGTGAAGCCCGTCCTCTGAGCGGCCAAGTACGGAAAGCCACAACTTGTTGAGAGGTTAAAGTGAGGCGGAAATCTTATTTTCATTGAACGTTTTTACAAAGAAAATGGCACAAAAACAAACAAGCTCCGAGTCGCAGTTTGGATAAAAAGTTCCCACACTTACCCATCTGAAACTCCCTGCGGGAATTTCATCACAAGACTCCCTAGTATTCCGTAATAAAGCAGCAACAAAATAACAAATGGCTGTCTGTTCCGTCACAAAATATACAACCACTTTGAGTCAGCGTAAGCCTTTGACCTTAACATTGCAGGTAATGCACATTTAAATACCTACCTCTGTATTCATGTTTGTCATTTTACTTGTGAAGATTAGGTGTAAAAAGGCTATTTGAAACCAAAACACAGGATTAAGGGATAATGCTGCTCTGTGTCTTGTGAGTCGACCTTGATTCTGTAATCCAGCACAATACTGGAGAACAGCGTATTTCTCGCTCTTGTACATTCAATACTCTCACTGTAGAACAGCTCACACTGATGTAATGGCACATAATGGCACCACGCTGACTGACAAAGTAATCTGAATTAAGGGGAACTTCATTGTTATATCTGTGTAACAGACCTGGAAATACTATTACAAGATTTGTACAAAGAAAAAAAATATTCACAGCACTTTTATATATCGATTACAAATGAAAGGAGGAGGTATACACAGAAAATTGTGTTGCAGGTAAAAATACAGAGATGGCAAATAATGACCAAAACAACACAAATGAATTGTTTTGAGTCACCTGAACTTTAATGACCACATTGAGGAATGAACTTGATCTTTAAAAGTAAGCCAGTTTGAGGTCAACCATGGTGTTATTAAGGGCTGTGCCACTTAATCAGAGTGGATGCCAATTTAGCAAAGGGCTAACTATGCAGGAGGGACCATCTGAGGCATCAAACAGATCACTGAGTATTGTGTCACCTGCCTCTGCATACCTCTGTACAGTATACACGCGCTCCTTTCCACTCAAAATCTGCTTTATTTT